ATAGTCTCTTTTAATTTTTATGATGAGATTATTAAATACGTTTTTAGCTAGAAAATAACTTAAATAATTTCTTACAAAATATTAAATAGAGTTATTGAAAGCGTTTCTAGCTAAAAATGCCTTAAATAATTTGTGAATTACTCAGGGTGTTTATCGCCAAAAACGTCTTTAATAACCCATGAATTATTCATTTAGAGGGGATTATTCAAGCCATTTATGGCTAAAAACGCCTTGAATAATCCTTTTCAATTTTTATCAAGAGATTATTAAAGGCGTTTTTGCCTAGAAAATGACTTAAATAATCCATAACAAAATATTGAATGAGGTTATTAAAGGCATTTCTGATAAAAAAATACGTCTAATAATCTCTTCAATAAATTTTTATAAAGGATAATTGAAGGCATTTTTTTGCCAAAATGCCTTCAATAATTCCTTCCAAATTTTTTCAGGAGATTATTAATGCGTTTCACCAAAAACGCTTTCAATAATCTTTTTCACAATTTATTGAAGGGATTATTGAATGTGTTTTTGGACAAAAACGCCTTTAATAATCCCTTCTAAAATTTTTTGAATGAATTATAGAATGTGTTTTTGGTCAAAAACGCATTCAATAATCCTATTCAATTTTTGTAAGCTAATAGTTTTTTTTTTAGCCTATATTGATGGTTATGTTAATAACCGTCAGTATATAATATATTTATACTGACAGATAGTCATATACCATTAGAAAAAGTTTATTTATACCGATGGTTAAATAAAGTGTTAATATAAGTATAGTATATTCTAATCGTATTAAAAATTCATTAGTAAAAATTTTTTTACTGATGAAATTTAACCGTTAGTATAACAAAGCATCAGTATATGAAAAATATTTTGTAGTGTATAAGATAAGATATAAGATTAATAAGGTATTCAAGGTATTTAATATTTATTATAATAAGTTGACTAAAAATTAAAAATTAAAGTAATGAGAGTAATTTATGATCATTTAATAAAAATTTAAATTTATTATCATTATTACATTAATTTTAAAATCTCTTTTTTTTTATATATTATTCTCAAGCATATTGAATGAACATTATACTTTCTAATTATCAAATATAAATTACTCTCAATTTAAGATACTATTACTATTGATTTGGTTCTTAATTTGTTTTAGTCAATTAATCATTTAAAAATAAATGTTAATAAGAATCATTGAAAGTATTTTGTAATAATGGAAATAAGATATTTTAAATTAAATTTATTCTACCATTAAATTCTAAAATTTAAATTTTAAATGCAAAATTAATTTTGAACACGTATCAATTTTTTAAATTGTTCAATTGTTGAAAATATAAATTATCCACATTAGATTGTTTTCTTTTTTATTAAAGGCTCTGGCTTTTATATATTTCCTTGTTTGTTTCCCGTGCAGTACACGGATTAATGTTTTCATATATATATAATTATACACACAAATACTATTCTTAATAAAAAAAATAAAAATTTTACATATGCATATATTTATGTGACATCTTAAAAATATATAAAACTTTTAAAATATTCAATGAGTAATATTATTAAAGAAAAGAAAGTGAATATATCTTATAAAAAAGTCTTGGATTAACTCAAGATGCTTCATTAATTTTGCATTATTTATGTTATTCTTATTTAAGATAAGTTAATATTCTTTAAAAAAATACTTTTATTCTAATTTTGCATTATTTATGTTTATTTCAATTTGGATATTTTTGGTATAATTAGTTCTAATTTTTGTTAATAGTCAACCTTTATTTTTTTTCCCACAATTATGAATAAAAAATTATTTTTATTATTTATCTTAAATTACTCTCAATTAAAATTCATCTCAAAGATAATAAAACTTTCATTACCATCATTAATAACAACTTTTTTTTTTCATAACAGTAAATTCTTCGTTGTAAATGCAAATTTGTATGTTATAAAAATAATGATAAAGATAGTTTATATCATGAAGAGTTGATTTTGGTTTTTAATACCTCTTTCAAATATTAATGAATAATACCAATTTAGATAATAAAAGACTTTATCACATAATGTTTTATATAGTAATAAATACAATAATTAATAAAAAAAGATAAATATAAAATCTTCCCTTTCTTCCTTTTTTTTTTTTGGTTACATGGAAATAAGACACCCAAGTTTTTTAATAGAGAAATTTATGAATTAAAATATAATCTTATTGAATTAAAAAACATTATATAAAAAATATTCCATATTGAAATAGTATTTCATCTATAATAATGCTTTTTGGCTTAATTAAAGAAATTACAAAAAATAAAATAAAATAAATATAAAAATGTACAATTAAATATGCATGTGTATTTATTTTCAATTTGAAAAAAAAAAATCCACTCTTAAAAAATGCACATTTTTTAAAAGTATTATTCTCTCTCAAAATACAACTTTTCTTATATATAGGAGATCATAGATATTATTTATAAATATTTATTCATAAAAAAAAATATTAAGAAAATAAGATAATAAAGTTTAAAAAATAAAATCAATTACCATGCCACTAATATAGAGATATTAATAACAAAACAAACTTAGTAAGTACTAAAATAAGTTAATGAAAAAGTATGATATGCCAAATTCACCTTAAAAAAAATTGTACAGTATCCAAAATAATATAAATAATCTAATAACTTGATAAATCAAATTATTGTAAAAACTAATAATAAAAAACTCAATAAAGCATAATGAATATAAAACCAAGGAAACATACTATAAAATATACTACAAATCAATAAATTAAGGTAGCACAAAGATTAAATTATGTTAAAAAAGAATATAAAAGAAAATTGTTTTAACAACTATTGATAATTACATAAAAAATTAAAAAAAAAATGAAAGGTGAGTTGGTAAAGTTTAAAACCCTTATCTACATTCACTTTCATAGGATGGTATTTATAGGCAACATAAACTATTTATAGCAAAGGGAAAATCCCTATGATTTTGGGTGAAAATCAAAATTTACTTAATTTAATTGTTTCTATATCAAGAAAAGCAAATAAATGTTAGCCTTCATTGTCAGATTCCTTTCACAAAAAATTTACATATTACTATATATATATATATTTATATATATATATGGTGTACTTTAAATTGTCCTAATTTGTAACCAATTAAAAAACTTATAGAATAAAAGAAAACTTTTTCTTGTCTAATTAATTTAATTTAATTTGATTGGTAGTGATTTAATATATTTAATAGTAATTTATTTATTGAAAGCAAGAATATTAATTATTTGAAAGTGAATAATTGTAATGAATTTTTTCAAAAAATTATTTGTTAAATTAAGAATGTATATTTATTAAATGTAGAACATGTGACAATTGTCTAAAATTATCCACATGTCAAATTTCTTTTCTTAAATCATTAAACAAAATCTTTTATGACCATAATTATATTGCTTATTACTTTGAATAATTTACAAACTAAATAAGAATTTAATTTAGTGATTTTATATATTTATATTGATTGATTTAATTTGTTAAATTATAAAAAAAATATATTTATTTTGACCAATTGGTTGAGATTTAAATATTAATAATGGAAAATTAATTATATATATTAGTTGACTTCTATATTTGATTATAGTGTATCATTGATTTACTTGTGATCTATATTATTAATTGAATTAATTTGAGCAATTAATGTATATGGGATGCATGACTTATTGATTATAACTCGAATATATAAAATCTAACATTATAATGTATTATTAATCATATATAAAATCATTATATCATATGTATAAATATATACACACACATATACATGAATAACATCTATTACTCAATTGAATATAATATTTAATCAAATATGAATGTTAAATAATTGATTAAAGAGTCAACTCTTGACCATAATTACAATAGTTATTAATATTTTTATAATATTTCTGATTAGATTTCAATCAAAATTCTTTAAATCATTAAAAAAATATTTAATGACCATAATAATAATATTTATTAACCCTTTGAATCATTAAGAAATTTTTTTATTATAATGCATCATTAATTTAGATTTGATCTATAATTTTGGATATGTTATCTTATATATAAGGTAAGTCAATTAAAAAAACTTTGCCCTAAAAAAATTCAATTAAAAATTTAAAAGAAAATAATTATAATTAATGTATTGAAATATTTAAAAATTTTGTTGAAATCAAACGAATTTATATCAATTTAAAGAGAAATAAGTATGAATAAATATAATTAATACATAGCATATGGTGATTGATAAATATGTACACACACACATATACATGAATAACATCTATTACTCAATTGAATATAATATTTAATCAAATATGAATGTTAAATAATTGATTAAAGAGTCAACTCTTGACCATAATTACAATAGTTATTAATATTTTTATAATATTTCTGATAGATTTCAATCAAAATTATTTAAATCATTAAAAAAATATTTAATGACCATAATCATAATATTTATTAACTCTTTGAATCATTAAGAAATTTTTTTTATTATAATGCATCATTAATTTAGATTTGATCTATAATTTTGGATATGTTATCTTATATATAAGGTAAGTCAATTAAAAAAAATTTGCCCTAAAAAAATTCAATTAAAAATTTAAAAGAAAATAATTATAATTAATGTATTGAAATATTTAAAAATTTTGTTGAAATCAAACGAATTTATATCAATTTAAAGAGAAATAAGTATGAATAAATATAATTAATACATAGCATATGGTGATTGATAAAAATTGTCCATATGTCAAATATTATAGATCATCCACATTGGATTTTTTTTTACCAAAAGTTTTGACTTTTTATATATTTATATAAGTTAAATTTCTTACAGAACATTTATACCGTACTGATGTCTTCTCTACCTCACGACAAACAGATCCTTGAATGAATTCTGCAGATGGATGTAGGAACGCAAAACCATGTTGATATTGCCTCTCTTAACAACACCTACAGATGATGAAATGATGATGCCATGAGGAGAAAAGTTGAGGCAATGACCTTAAAGAACACCCAAGCATCCGAAGATTCTAAACATATCTCTCTGATGAAATCAAACAATTTACATATATACATAAATTGATAATTCAGGTGTGAAGCTTGTGCAATCATAGTAAAAGTCATCATTTTAGAAAATTTAACAACCAACTTGGAAACATGTTAGAAATCAGAATAACTAAAAGTCAAGCAACCCAAGTACATAGTTGCGAAGGTCCCTAACAAGAAGAGTATATACATGGTAACGTGCAAAGAGTTGATAAATGAGGAACTTAAAGTGATTTAAAGTATTAACTGTAACCAAACATGTTTGGCACTAAAATATGATCAGTATACAAGAAAGATCAAAACCAAATGTTCCAGTATTTAAAATTTTCGAGAGGAAATGGTCATACAAGTTCCAAAAGCTTGGTTGGTACCTAGCAGCAATATATGGATAAAATACAAGAAAAAAAGTGCACTAAACTGATGAGGAAAAGAAAACGAGGGAGAAATAATGTTCCACATCCAACTTCCATAGTGACAAGGTGAAAACCTATTTGGCTGCCTGCTCTAACACAGGAATTTTCTTCCAATCCTCTAATGCATGATGCAAAGGTGGCAGTGAGAACATGCTCACAGTTGAGCTTCCACTCCGGATCTCTTTCAAGACATGTAGTGCTGACAACGTTAGCTTCATATACATGTTCTCCATATTCTTAATTTCTGCAAGTTCTTTCGGAACTTTGAGAAGCCTTTCATTACTTCTGCTAGAAGTTTGGGATTCACATTCTTTCTCTTCAGGTGATGTTGATGGTTCATTCATGGAGAAAAGATGATTGAGGACCATCTCACACTCTTTCACAAGCTTGTTAAGAACATTGGTACTGTAGAATGGTTGTTGCAAGACCTTTTGAATGAAGGGCAAGCGAACAAGAGCACCACTTCGCTTGTCATATTTCTTTATTATCTTCACTAGTCCTGTGTACATCATATAGGTTCAAAATTTTTCACACAACCCAAAGGAAAGCAGTCTACTGACAACTTTGCCACATCACCTCTCTCCTCTTGTTTGTTAAATATTGTTAAGGAACTTGCAAAACTGAGTAGTATAATTATACTAATATGCCAGATCTTCAAAAGGTTAAAACAAGACATAAACATTCAAATTGAATTGAATAAACTGAAATTCATTCAGAGTTCGTTTAAACAGAACTTTCCACTTTCCAATTCAAGTAATCTTTTCATCATATGAACATTTAAGATGTTAAGTCACCCAATAGAGAAATGAACTGAACACAAAGAGAGCTATTATATCAACCTACCTACAAGAACATTATATGTTCCATTAGACCACATAACCAATCGAGTCTGTCAATTTGTAAAACCACATAGCTAGCATTAGCATAGCACGAAAACTGTTAATTGCTGAGAAGACTTTGGCAATGCCACGAATAACATTCTCAAAATTTGTGAAAATCACTGAGCTCAGAACATAAATTAGTTCTGGCCATGCTATTTTCACTCGTTGATTAATAAAATGGGCTTACAAAAAACCATGGAAAACAGATTAGTACCTGTATAGTTAAGGGCACTATAATTCTCCAACAAAACCATCTCTCCATGAAAATCTACAATCTCCCTTCCCACTTCCATTAACTCCTCGTTTGATACTTTGGCCTTTGCTGCTCTATCTTGCAGCTCCTGCATACCAGCCACAAGGAAAAAGCATATCAATTCAGAGCAATAAACATATTGAACAAAAAATAAAGAAAAAGGGAGAAAAAACCCAAAGAAGATAGTTCAAAACTTCCAAAAGAACATGCCACATATCCCAAAAGGCAAAATGCCGAAATAGTGTGGACCTCAGAGACTCAAACATCAATGAACTCCAGAGTGTGATGGAATCTTAAATGGTTAGAGACTCAAAAACAACATCCCAAAAGAACCAAAAATAGATTTGTCTTTCAACCCTTTTTTTTCTTTTGGCATTAAGAAAACTGCTATCTTTTTTGAATGGCAGATATCACCATGAAACAGGAAGCAGCTCAACAGAGAATTCCATAAATAAAGCCCTCTGAATTCGGAATAAAGGAAATAGCAGCACAAATGTGGGAAAAATAATTCATTTTTTGCTTCATGAACTTCAAAACTTCAACAAACCCATCACAGAATTCACCCCAAAGTTTCAATATGATCCTCAATAAACAGCATAACAATTGAAAAGCCAAATCCTTTCGTTAACCAACAATTTAATCCCATAATAAGTTAATAAATCAAGAAAATTTCCAAAATTCAACAAAAAAAAGAGCTTGTGCATATAATAAAAATTAAGGGAAAAATTAGAAAATACCCTCCATTTGATAACATAATCCTCTTCCTTTTCTACAAAAAAAGCATTAAACTTCTCTATCTCAACTTCCAACAACGAAATGAAATCCATCACCTCCTTAGAAACCTCGCTCTCCTCCTTACAGCCACCATCCCCACCGTCCGTTGAATCCAATCTCGGCCGTTTATTAGGCTGCTTCTTGCTCCCATCTTTGGGGTATATCAACTTCAACTGCTTCTTCAAATCCTTGTACGACAAAAACTTATCCTTCCAATCAGGCAAGGCTTCTTCGATCAATATGCTTAAACTCTTCGAAAACTTCATGCTCCTCCACTCACCTGATCAAGATCACGATTTCCCTTTTCCTTTTTCTCTGTATACAGATATATTCTGGTGACTGATACTATCATAGAAATAATAAAGAAAAAGGAAAACGATGATAGTATTTTTTTCTTTCTTTTTTAGAATATACTCTGTTTTTTTAGCATAAATTGTGAACACAAAAACATTTTCTTTGATTCTGTGCAAGGAAATGAAATATATATTTTCTTTGATTCTTTATAACTTTCTATTGTGTAATGGTAAATGTAGGAAACATATGGAAAAGGTCATCCACCATGGGTTTTTTTATTCTAGATGGTTTCTTTGTTTAATCATCACATCGTTGTGCTTCTATAATAAAGTTAATTACCCACTTTGGCTTTTGGGGAGCAATGCCTTTTAGATTATACTTATCCACATAATTGGTGACAAATTGCTTGTCCTTTATCATGGTTTCATGAAATTTGCGTTTAAAACTTAAATTTTAATATTTATAATTTTTTTTAATTTCTTTTAGTTTTTACATATTGCAATTTTCTTTGTACAAAAAATTATGACATTTAAAAATATAAATAAATAAAATATTTGACAAATAATTCGAAAACATATTTAATTTATATTTATTAGTTAATAAATAATTACAAATAATATTTTAAAATTTATTAAATAAATAAATCACGAACATAATAAAATTTATTTATATTCGACTCATTTATAATATAAAAATATAAACGAAGAAAATATACAATGAATAGTTCATGAATAGATTTAATTTTATTTATTTATATTTGTTTATTAAATTTAATAAATAATTATAGACAAAATTTTAAAATTCATTAATTAAAAAAATATATCACAAACCTAACAAAATTTATTTATATTCAAGTCGCTTATTTCTAATAATATTAAATTTTGCAAAATGCATACGCCTATATCATATATGATTTATATTTATTTGAACTTACTATTAGAAACAATAGTTGCATGCCAACCATATTAGCTCATTAGAAAGGAAATTATATAAATTAAGCATTTTAAAATCATTTTAAAATTAGAGGAGATGGAAATTGTAAACTCCGGAGTCTCTTACTTTTAGGTTTTTCAATCCATTAATCGATTAATTGAATTCTTAAATTTTAATCATACTTGACCATAATCCATTTAAATTTTGAATTGGTTATTTGGTTTGGATAATTTTTTTGGGCCACATTTGGTTCAGGTCAACTCTTTTAAGCCATAGTTAGGCTTAGTTAACCCAATAGTGGTTTTTTTTTTTTTCATTTTATTATTTTCTTTTATTATCCTTTTATTATTTATTTTTGTTAAAACTCAAAAAAATAATAAAAAATCAATGAACTTTGAAAAAAATGAGAATTGAATTATAATTTTGGAAAATGATTTGAAGGTTGAAAGATTGTGGGAATAAAAAATAGTGACAATCATTGTTTGAGATTCATAAAAATTAAATTGACAAATTCTTTTAAGGAGAAAGGGAAGAAAATCAGAAAAGAAATGAAAAGTTGAAGAAATCAAATTGTTTTTAAAGAAATCAAAATATACAAAGAAAGAAAATAAAAAAGCTCAGATTTAATCTCTTCAATTTATTAACAATTCCTAAAAATTTTTGGCATTAAACCCCTATAAATTCACAACCAATTTATCCACAAAGGGGAACAATCAAGACACAATGATTAGAAAAACCACAGAGAAATTAGCAATTAAAAAATAAGCATTGCAAAACAAAAAAAAAATGTCTTTTGCTTAACGTGAGGTGGGTTCGGGCTGATTAGTTTTTCAAGGTTTCTTTGATGTTGAAGGTTGGTCGGACTAGAAAAAGAGTGAAGAAGTCTTCTAGTATTTTTTTTGGTGTTTCGAACAATGGCCAAAAGAAAAAAAGGCAATAAGGTATTTAGGGGGTTTTGATGTTAGATCTAGGAAAATCTAGAAATATTTGGAAAAAACAAACTTGAAAAAAAAAGGAAAGAGAAGACCGTAAACTACTTGAAATAGTTTCTTTTTCATTGGGTTTTTGTTACCAACAATGGCAATCATTGGCAACGAACGAGGGAAACGTTAACGATCTGCCGAATTCTGGAAACTTTGAAGTTTCTAATGGGTTTCTTCAACTAGTAGAGAGAAGGCAAAGAAACTTGAAGTTACTGGGACAATGGAAAAATGGAAAATTAGAGTTTTGGTTTGAAAGAAGGATTTTATACCTAAACTGGAACGATGACATTTTGTGCTAGGCAACCCAAACTTGACCCACGACGATTTGCTTGCCGTTCCAAGATCATATCTGACTGGGTGGGCAAAATCACCCGAACCCGTCGGGTTTCGACCCGACCCGACCCCTTAGGGTCGATTTTTTTTTTTTGAAAATCGGGTATCCGGTCGGGTAGAGTAAAAAAAATTTTCGGGTTCGGGTCGGGGTCGGGTTTTGAGCAAACCCGACCCGATATATATAAAAAAATTATTTTTTTAATTTTATATTTAATTATATATTTTTTTTATATATTTAATTTTATATTTATATTTAAAATAATATTTTATTAATTTCTGGTCGGGTCGGGTCGGATTTGATTTTATACAATGTCGGGTTCGGGTATTAAAAATGAAAAAATTATCGGGTCGGGTACGGGTTCGGGTATTACATATTTAAAATCGGGTCGGGTTCGGGGCGAGCAAAAACCCGCCCCGCCCCGACCCGTTGCCATCACTATATCTGACCAGTTTGTCGTGCTTTAGGGTTTTTTTTTATGTTTAATTATTGTTTTTTTATTATTTCTATGTTTGTGTTTTTATTTTATGTATTTTTTATTCATTTCATTCTTCTTGTTTTATTTTTATTTATTTATTTATTTTAAATACATGTTTATTTATAAAAATTAAAAAAATGATATTTTAATATCAAAATATTAGATAATTTTTTTTCATTTAATTATTTGTAATAATTAATAAATTTTAAACAGTAAATGAAAATTCTTCCAATGATGAAATTATAACAAAATTAAGAATGGGTTTTTTTTAGGAAATTTTTAAGTTAGAATTTTTTTCTAAATTTTTTCAAAATGATGGAAAATTTAGATAAAATTTCAAAAGTCAAGAATTTACATTTATTTCCAAACATAAATAAAGTTGAATTAGAATACACTTAAAATGAAAAAAGTCATTTAGAAAAATTTCCAAAATGGCAACAAAAGCTTAAATTTCTTTCTAATACTTTAAATAATGAAATTTAAAATAATAATAGACCCTTTTAACCGATATTATTTTACGATAATATAAGATTAATTAGTATCATCTTTGGATGAATATTGTGGGAGTTTTAATACCTTAGTTCTATTTAATAGACAAAAACCTATTCTTTTAAAAAAATCTTCGTTAAACATATGAATTTTTTAAGGAGAATAGATTTACATAGGTGGTGGCCAATTTCACCTAATAAAAATTATTAATGGCAACTCCATTGTTTTGTATCTAGAGATCGAGTTTTTTCATTTTGAACATTATGACAATTTGACAACTTTGTTGGGAATATTTGAGAGTCGAGTCAATAATTAATTTTAGATTATCCTAAATCTTGGTTGAATGGTTTTGAATTTTTATATATCATTTTGTTGTTTTTCTTTCTTTCATTATTTATTTATTTTTGTGGAGCATTTTAAAAGTTTTCCCTTTCACACACACACACACTACACATACATGTGCATGACATAAGCCTTATACCTAGACTCTATCCCTTTAGAAGAAAGTAAAGTAACCATGCTTTGGTAAGATGATAATCTCCATAATGGCTAGTGAAATACTCCCACTCATATTGAACCATTTTTGTTTGTAACCTATGATGGATAAGAATTGAGGTGCCTTACTAATTAACTGTGGATGATAGTGATGAACAATTTGAAATCTTTTAACTTATGAAAATACAAACCAAACATATAGTGAGCCATAAGAAACCAGCTTTAAAGTGGAGCCATGACTTACTCATTATGTAGAAAATCCTAAGAGTTAAAACACATGAAAGAACCATATTATTAAATTTGGTAAATTTTCAAAAATAAAAACAAAAAAAAGGTTTTTTTTGTTCTTTTTTGTTAACACTTTAATCTTGTCTTGTTTACTTCTTCTATTGTTTACATGCATCATCATATAAAAGTAGTTTGTTGAATAGTAGTTTTGATAAAACAAACTGTCAAAATCAAATCTTTGCTTTAAAATTGTTTGGCATGCATACATTTTTCTCCAAAAAGTTGATATATAGTAACATGGTTCTTAATGTGGTAATAAAGGTTCAAGGATAGCACCACCATTAGAAATTCTAAAGTAATCCATTCATCACTTATACAATACCCATTTTTAAGTAAAGATTATGGAAAAAGAACAAGCAATTCACATGGAAAAGATGAAGAATGAACATAAGGAAATTAGAAGGCACCTAGCACTTATAAGAAAGTTGCTAAAAAATCTAAGTAGAAGGAAAATGGGTGGCAAGGGAAGTTATAACTCAAGAGAGACACCAAATGCACATGGCTGAAGATCATTTATATCATCCTAGTTTTGATTAGTCTCAAGCCTAAGCATTTTAAATAGAGTAGTCACAAAACGCACCACTTACTAGAAGGTACCATTATACATACTAGAGTATGCCATAACAACTACTTAAATTAACTTTCAGGGGCATATTATTCTTACTTTAGGCATGAAGGTATTATATCCAACTTATGTTCCTAATTTGGATGATCCCAAAAACCATGAAAAGTTGAAAGCAATAAATTAGAAGACTTAACTTTTTAACAAAAGATAAACCTTATGGAAAAAATATTCTTTTGGGTTATTAAAATGTTGGATTTTTATGCTTCTATGGATCAATTGAGCTTACCTTGGTGCTTGGTGGGGTCATTCTACCTAAGTTTAAAGTTCTCAAATCTGAGAAATATAATGGCACTAAATGTCCAATCACCCATGTAACAATGTATTATAAAAAATAGTTACTCATGCTCATGATGACAAGTTGCTACTTCATGTTTGCCAAAATAGTCTTACAGACTCTACTGTTAGGTGGTATATCCAATTACATAGGAGTTTTATTCATTCATGAAAAGAACTATTTGGGGCATTTATAACTCAATATAAGTATACAATAGATTTGGTGTCATAATGTTTATCCTTGTAAAGTATATAGAATAAAACTACTGAGAGCTTCAAATAATATGTTCAAGGTGGAAAGATATTGCTACCTAAGTACAACCACTTCTTATAGATAAAGAAACCACTTTTTCATTTGTTAATACTTTTAAGGGTTAAATATAAACATAGTCCATGCACTATATATTTTTTGTCAGTTTGGTACTTAAAGAAATAAAATTGCCAGTTTAATACT